TGTATCCTTTGGATCTATTGGACTGCTGTTAATATTTCATACAGGTGGTGTGCTATTACCAGATACATAGACAGTGATGCACTTCAAGGATATCAGTACAGTCTTATGGGCAGTTTTTCATTTAGTTCTCTCCTTCAGATAGTAGTGCTTTGTAGAGAATTACTGGTAGTTCGCATATAATGTGAAGGAGCACATAGACAAGTGCTCAAGGTTATGTTAGTTTTCCTCTGAGATCTGTCATGCCAAAGAAATTTTGGATTCCTTGCTGAAAGGAGTCCCTCTTAAACAATCCATGGGTTGCATACAGAAGGAGAGAGTTCGAGGGGGGGTGTGGGTTTATGTGTGTGTGTGTATATGTATGTTGCTAACAGTACTTGCATATAATTATGCAATTAACAAACGGAAAGAATGGTTGTAATTGTTAACTTGTTCATACCTGCAAACCAAAAGTTTGCATTTTCTTGAGATATTTGTCCCTTTGCGAATAAATGTATCTCAATATACCAAGGCAATGGTGTAGACTATTACTGCTGCAAAAACTTAATTTCCCATTAGCTGCTGTTCTTTGGTCCCTCCTGCCTCCCATTATTCTGCTTTTTCAGCCTACATATTTAAAAAGTTTTTCCTTTCCTACAGCTGGTGAACGATGTTCAGTCTCTAGTAGTCTTACTTGAAGCAAAAGAGTAGCATCATTTTACAGATGGGGAGCTGAAGCACAAACAGGCAGAGAGAAGGGTATTGCTACATAGCAGTTAGGGAAATAATCACATTATGCTTTACAGGTATTAGATTGAGCTTTAAATAGGCTAATTTGTGGACAGGTTGCAATCTGAAGATAGAGGAATGTGTACTCATGCACAATTTAATTGATCCACTAGGTTAGAGTTTATGTGTTTTGAAATAGTGTTTCTCATGGTTTTAATTTGCATAAAACGTACTTGCACATGGTAAAGTTACAGGTAATTTGAGAGTTTTTCTGTAACCCCTTTACTTGGAAAATGCTGGAAACATAGGTTGGATATTTTTCTTGTAAAAATCCTTTAACTGTATCTTTGTTTGATTTTAAAATATTATGGGATTTTGCTTTTTAATGCAGAAACAGTAAGTGGTATTAAAGTAGAACAGGCTGTGCAAATATAAAAAATTTGTGTAGGGTGAAATTAGAAATCACTGGAAAAAAACGAAACCAGAGTAACTTGGCTGCCATTAGTCCTAATTATGTAAATTACCTTTTTTGTTATGTCATAGGTGTGTCGTCTGCAAGACTTAGTACGAAAAAGTGAACAAGGCCTCGGTACTGCAGAAGGACATATCTCCAGTCTTCAGGAAGCTCAGGAAATACTCCAGAAAGAACTAGAATTAACTAGAGCAAGACTGCGAGAGACCACAGATTCATTGTATAGTGTTGAGGTAACCATAATGGTGGAGAAAAAATTGTGCAAAAGTACAGTCACAGTGATTTTGGTCTCATTTTTAAAATGGCAAGAAGTATCATAGCATACACGTTATTGAAGGAACTTCATATGGCTTAATTAAAAGAGAGATTTCTCTTTTATTTTCAAGCAGGTAGAAATAAACTGGAAAACTAGGATGAGTTGGTTTGGGGTTTTTTGTTTGCTTTGTTTTCTAAAGAACACTTTTAGTATTTAATGGGTATTGCTGCAAGCACATCTTTCTTTGGTTAATATAAAATGTAGCTGCCAAAGTGTGTCTGTGCAAAATATATCCAGAGTCAGATTTTTCAGAGGCTTAACAGAATTTCATGAGAATATAGAAAATATATGTTACACCAGTGCTGTTTGAGACAGCTTCATGTCTTGTTACAAAACAAGATCCAGAGCTTACTAGCTCTAGAATTCTCCCTTTTAAATTATTCTCTGGTTGTGGGTTTTTTAGGGAGTTGGTTTGGGTTTTGTTTTTTTCCCCAATATGCTCGCATACCATGTTTTCCTCAAATAATGAGCACAGTCTTCACTTCAGGCTCAAATTGAGAATTTCAGAAGATGCTTGGGAATAGGTTAAAGATACAAACAATGATATCTTGAAAGACAGCAAGCTATCATCCAGAAAATGCAACCACTTTATACAGCTGACGTATTTAATTTGTCTAAGCACAAATATATTGTCATTTTAGTTGGCTTAGATGGAACTGGAACTGCCAGTTAATCTGTCAGTAGCTCATCAACTTTAACACTAAGTATAACCTTTCCTTTTTCTTTCCTCACTAAACAACATACATTACAAGATCACAACAGTATTTGAAGTAGAGCAGCAAATATTTAAAAAAAATTCCTTGAATCTGTTTCTTACAAGTGTTATTTTGTTAACAAAAATAGCTGGTCATTGTTTTGCTCTCTTTTTTGATTTACTTTCAGCTAGGGTCATGAGATGTACAGTCTATTACAGTTTGTAACTTCCTTTGGTTTTTTGATAATTTCTCTGAGTCCATATGAAGTATGGACTGCATTTTTCTCTCTTCACCTATTATAACATTTAAATATTTGTATGTAATGGCAGGTTACTAGCACTAACATCTGTCTTAACAGATTTTAAAATATATAAATGAAAAAATCCTACAGAAAAATTCTCACTATAAAAAGTCTTAATTTAGATTTAGATGGCGTTTGCTTCTCATGAATGAAGCAAGCACTGCTGAAAAACACTCATGTAAGTATGAATTCTTGGTAGTACCTAGTACTTTTCTAGTATGTTAAAAAGTTGAACAGAAATTGATGTGAATTCTAAAATTTTTTTCTGTGTTCAGACTGAAAGCCTGTTTCTACCACATTAGTCCAATCAGGAAACAGAAAGAAGATACATGAACTTTGTATCAAATCCAGACAGAGCAGGCTTTGAAATTAAAATTATTAATGTTTGCTGATATAAAGAAAAAAAACAGTCCAAAACATGCTTGAAAGTCCAAAGTATGCTTGACAAAGAACCTAAGCCACTTGCTCCAATTCTAAAGATAGTCCTGCACTGAACAGGACTTGGTAACCTTTTGAGGTTCTTTCAACATAAATTATTCTGTGATTCAGTGTAACAGTATTTGAAAAGATTCCTTTCAGAATGACTTATTGGAAAATTACTTTTAATTGCTTTGTATAGGAAGGCAGAATTCTGTTCCACAAGTAAGAAATATCAGCAGATGTATAGGGGTTAATTGTGTGTAAGTAGGAATTACATGCTGAAAAAGTTGTAATTCAAGTTTTATGAGCCAATGTAACTGACTTTTATTATAAATGCATTCATTTAAGGTTTGAAATACTTTTTTGCTGCTGATCAGTCTCTATTGTGAAGTTTGTGTTTGCAGGGGGAACTAGATCAGGAGAGACAACAGCACGAGGCAATGATTGCGGCCATGAGAGAAGAGGAGAAGTTCAAAGTTGACAGAATGGCTCGTGACTTGGAAATAAAATGGACAGAAAATCTTCGGCAAGTATTAATTTATTTATTGTGTTATTCTTCAAATGAGAAATGAAATACGTATTACATACAAATGTAATAGCAAATGAGATGTAAAATATTTCGTTATTATCTAAGCTTTTTCAAGTATTACTAAGTTCTTAATTTTTTTTTCACTTCTTCCACAAGGTCCACTGCATTTTCATTACTTGACCTTTGCTTTTAGACAGGAATGTAATAAGCTTCGTGAAGAGCTGAGGCTTCAGCATGAAGAGGATAAGAAGGCAGCCATGACTCAGCTGTTGCAGCTGAAAGAACGTGAAAAAAATGCAGCAAGAGATGGATGGCAAAAAAAAGTTGAAGATCTTTTAGACCAGGTAACTGTGGTCTCTTTGAGAACTTGAAGGCCATTACAATTTAGTTGCTGGTGGTTTATTACCAATTAACGACATGAAATTGGTTGCAACATCTCTCTCTGAAGTGAAATTCATTAGCATAACACATTTTAAATGTAATCATTATTGAACTTTTTGAGTAGTATATGAAGATACCTTAAATTATATGCATGTTCTTCTTTATGCTAAATGTGAATAAAACTTTTTACAGTTTTTTTTGTGGGAGTGTGAGTGGGAGTGTCTCACATCTTCACTTTTTAAGTTCTCTGTCTGCTTGCCTATTCTGTTGTAAATATTCACCAATACTAATTGTTTGGACCTGGAGGTCTCCCTTATCTTTACAATAATGACACTGTACAAGTCGCTGAAAAGTCAAAATGGCCCTCAGTTTCTAAACATGTTTATTACACCTGTCTTCTCTTAAGTGACAAAGCCATGCTAAGTAGGAATGAAACACACTTGAAAATGTTATCCCTCCTCTGTTAAGTAGACAACATTTAAAGAGGATGCAAGCTAGTCTGAAATTAAGAGATTTTTATCGCAAGTGTTAATTTTGAGACATCTAAAATGATCTTGAAATTTTACAATATAAAAGGGATATTTTTGTATAAATATGAGGGCTTTTTTAATTGCAGCTCACACTTAGAAACTCAGTTATTACTTGGAGAGGAAAGAATTCCAGACCATAGCATTCAAGATGGGTAACATTTAGAGAAATGAGTTTGTAGTTCAGTTTCTCCTGATTGCAGTACACAAAAGGTAACCTCTGAGAGTTGCACTGACCTGAACCACAGAATCAGACTGAGGGTGGAACAGACCTCAGGAGGTCATCTAGTGCAACCTCCTGCTCAAATCGGTCAACACTGAGTTTGAACCAGGTTGCTTGGGGCTTTGTCCAGTCAGGTCTTGAATAAGACCCAAAGATGAATGTTCCACATCTCTCTGAATGATCTCTTCTGGTGCTTAATTATCCTCATAATGAGTTTGTTCTTTATATTTAGACAGAACCTCCTCTGTTTCCATTTATGATCATTGTCTTTCATTGTCTTGTGCACTGCTGTAGTGAGGCTGGGTCTACCTTCTTCATAACCACCTCAATAGGTACTGGGAAGCTGTTAAGTCCCACAAAGCTTTCTCTTTAGACTGAACAAACCTAGTTCCCTCAGCAGGGTATATGCTGCAGTCCCAGCCATCTTGGTGGTAGGTCTCCACTGAATGTGTTCCAGTTTGTTAATGTTTGTTGTGTACTGTGGCAACCAAAGCTGAATGAACTGGAGGAGAAGATAGAATGTGCCCTCCAGGTGAAGTGCAACAAGTGCCAAGTCAAAATGACTGATCCCTTCCCTCATACTACTGGTTGTTGTTACAGCCCAGTATGCTTCTGGCATTCAGTGCTGCCAGTCCACACTGCTGGTTCGTGTTTAGCCTACCATTAATTAGGTTAATCCAGTATGAACCAGTGCAAGGATTTGGTCCAGCCCATGTCAAGGACTTTGCATTTGTCCTTGTTGAATTTTGTGAGGTTCCTATCGGCCCACGCATATAACCTGTATAGGTCTCTCTGGATGGCAGTCCTGCCTTTCAGTGTGTAGTATCACTTCCACTCTGCTGTGCTCCATTTTTCTACTCCTCACAATTTGGTGTCATCCACAAACTCATTGAGGGTACTGTCTCCTCCTCCGGATCATTGATAAAGATACTAAAACGAATATGTTCTGGAACAGACACCTACATGTAACAAGCTTTCAGGTAGAGGGAACAGTTAACTGCTACCCCTTCAGCCTGATAATCCAGCCAGTTCTCATCCATCTGGTAGCCCACTCATCTGAATTGTAATATGATCAGATATAAGGATGTTAAAAAACTTGGTGAAGTTGAGGTCGCAAACATCCACTGATCTAGTCATTTCATCACAGAAGAAAATCAAAGACAGTATTTCTCGTTATGAAAGAGAGTAGAAGATTTTTGTTATCTGTTTAATAATGCAAAGATTACTGTAGACTTTTGGTTGTATTAATCTAGAATGAGGATATTCTGAGTGGAAACTGCATTGGGCCCAGTTTGACACTAAAGGAACTACTGCAATAAGCCTAACTGTGCTTGGCAGTCCATGAATGTGCAATAAGACTCTCTAGCCCAGATGGTTCACAGTCTAGTTTAAACAGACTGGAAACAGCAACAAAAGTGAGATTCTTCTGCTGTTGCATATATATATATGTGTATATATAAAAGATAAAGTTAATAGCATTGGGAAGAATTAAAATTTCAGTTCACGAAAAGGATATCTGTTCATACCTGTCTTTTCAGCTACACTGACCTAGAACAGCCTGAGGTACTGCAGTAGGAGTGTAAAATTATGTTACACCCATCCCCAATCTTCATTAGTGGGAAGATGCATTTAAATCTCATTTAAAAGGCATGAAGTCTGTGTAAGAAAGAGGAGGAGGGCAGGGATCCAACTCTGTTTTCTGCAATTCAGATTTCTGCACCTGAAGCATTGGTCTGGTCTATACCAGCAGTACTATACAATGATTTATCAAAAAAATACAAGAGTAAGGTCTCTGCTAAATCGTTTGTGGGCTCCTAACTTGGCAGAAAATGTGATCTACATGTACACTTTATATTGAATTAGTGTATGGAGCTTCAGTGGTTAGTTGTATAAATGCTATTCAGAAAGGTTGAATTCACAAACTAGATGCTCATCAGTAGGTTGCAGTATAAGGCGTTCCAGAAAGATGTCATGAACATGAATTATTTTTTTGGGAGGGAAGGGAAATTTAGGAAATTATTTCTAGACAAAATTGAGATTATGCATATTTGGCAAATGTAATTTAAACTTAAAGGACTCAAGTATTATTTTTGGCAAATTGAGAAGTATCATATCCAGTGCAAAAGAGTGAAAATAATATGCTTTTTAATATGGAAAGAATACTGTATTGTTTCATAAGCTTATGCTTTCACTCCTGTGAATACGAATTTTTCTAATATGTATAGATGCAACTGAGATTTGACTTAAAAACAAGCTACAAAGAAGTGTAGCACCTAACTTGAAATATAGAGGTGGTTATGTAAGCAAAGTGTTGAAAAAACAGGTTCAAATGCATGGAGAGAAGTGACACAGTATAGTTACTTAAACTGTAGAAGAATACAACATAGAGTATGCCCATCTTGGAATACTGCTGGCTGGTGCTGAAAAACTGCATGAAGAGACAAAGCAATAAATGGCAATAATTAAAAAAACAACTTTAACAAATGTTTAATCAAAAAATGTATGCCCATAAAGCGTACAAAGCTTTTTTTTTTTAATCTTATACTAAGCTACAAATTTCTGCCTTCTACTGCATGTTGCACATTTGATAGTTGAGATGTAGCTCTTGTATATGGCAAGGTAATATTTTTGCTTTTACACCAGTAGTGCTAAGTGGTCCCTCACAGTATGCATGTAGGACTATTGTTATTCTAACAGTATGGTTTTGTTATGAGTCAAATAATTCTCTTGGGAGGAAATGCTGTTCAGCTGATTAAGTGCTTAAACACATTCTTGCCGGTTGCAGAGCATCGCTTGCCATCTACGGTTAAATGGGGTTGGAAGGTTAACTGGACCAGTGTCTAGAGACCAAGTGTGTAGTTCGTATCTCTGATAGGAGAAATGGTTCTAGAAGACAAAAAAAGAAAGTGTTTTTCCTTTTTTTTCCTGTAAATTGTACTAAGTACTTCTACATCAATCCATGTGAGAGTTTCTTCATGAAATATGTAGTTAATTCAGATGTGCTAGCTCTTTTCCATTTCTTTTAGCTAAGTAATGGGCTTTTAACGCATTTCGTAACAACATTTTACTGCTGAGAAGTCTTCAGCCATGGATGAAATAGCAGGAATTTTCTTCTTTTTAAAGCATCAGTGTGTTTTCTCTTCTGCCTCTTCGCGTTGCGCAACCTCCAGTTCTGAGCACTGAGACATGCAGGTTCTGTACAGACCTGTATTATTCTTACCTATTTCTTTTCCTGATATATGTTCTTTCTGTAAACTGAATCAAGTATTCTGATTGTGGATGGGCTTTTCTATATTTGAGCAAATATCGATTCTCTGGCCTTCCTTACTTTTCAGTATAATGTGTTCCAGTAAAATAAATGTTTCTGTCAGCACCTTTTTCCATTCTTGTGTAGCTTCGTACTGTTACGTGACCGAGCATTAGCATGGCATTCTTCTCTCTAACTTTGTCAACTTTTTGCACACAAAGATACCATCTTCTATTAATGGAAATAGTAGTAGTAGTAGTACAGTGAGAATGGACAAAAGTATGCTACTTTTGCTTTGGTAGCTGTTTATGTTTTCTGCTGCAGAGATTCTCTCCTTTTTTGAAAAAAAAGTAGAAGTTTCCTATTCAGAGTCTGTTTCTATGGTGGTATGTTCCTTTTTAAACTGTCAAAAATATCAGTATATCAAAATATAAATATTTCTGTCTGATGTAGACATTATCTAAATTGTAGGTTTCAGAAAATTTCAAAATCAATCTTAAAACCCTGGACACTAAGTATACTCTTGTTCATGAAGTGGAGTGTTGTAGAAAAGACATAGAGCTGTGCACATCTGTAGATGCCCATCGACCAATCCTCTATGGAAGGGTCGTTACTGCTCGCTCTTTATTTGCCTCTGTGGAGGTGCTTATTGCAGTGCTGACTTGCATCCACATTTCCAGAATCGGGAAACACTACTTTCTTTCCCCAGCACAAGGATTACCCGGGCTGTAGAACAGCCCGGGTAATCCTTGCTTTAGAAGATTTGCTTTTGAAGGGATGCTGGAAATTTCTACAAGAGAAAACCTGCACATACCCTATAGCTGCTTCCTGAAAGAAGGGAGATTAACTTTCAGCACCTGTGCTTCCTTTCACTTGGTATCATCCTGAACACACTGTCTAAAGGCTTGTTGGTCAGAAACAGAGAGGGGTCAAGTTCAAACAACACCCCCTAATTCTTTTTGGTCA